CAAACAGCAGCGCAAGTCCGAGGGCAACAACGACTCCGGTGCGTACAACACGTGCGAAAAGACCGTCTTTGGCTTGTGAGAGTGATCGGGAGATGGTGGTCGCATTTCGGAGCTCCGGGCGACCACAGCGAAATAGCAAGCGGCCACGATGGCTTGATGACTACGAAATAGATTGATACATATGTACCTGGCGAGATTTTGCTACACGTCGAATTTGAGACTATTTGATCTCGTGGTTGTGTGGTAATTCTTGATTGATACCAGGAATGCAACCGCGTGTAAGTCCGGCGGATCGCCGGATCCGGCAGATCACCGGGAAATCCCTTAAGTCACAGAGGCAGGCACAGCAGAGGTGGGCTTTCCTTGAGCCCCAGTATCGCAACATACGCCTAGTGAACATCGACAAAATACAGCAGCACGAAAGACCGCGTCTTGGAATTTTGCGATTTCCTACGGTAACTGGCATCCGACCATGATTGTACAAGCGTATTCTTTGCGATCCAACTTTTTTGCTCATTCCTGAGATGACGTCCAAAAGTGGAAAAATGACTGGCCAGGGTCCGCCACCCCGATTTGCCGTCTTGGGTCTTGACGGTCTATGGTGGGGTCGCACGCTGTCAATGAGCAATGTACCGTTTGCAGCAGGAATTGAGGCAAGGTATATTATGTACACTTTTCGTGCTGACCTTTGACTACGAGGGCATAATTGACATCGCGAAGTGCGAGAGTAATGACTCAAGCCACATGACCTTGTCTAATATGTCTTTTGAGTGCTTGCGACAAGCGGTAAAGACAGGCCGAGTTGTAGAAGTTGGCAGGTCGAGGACTCGAGACGTACATATCATTGCATGACTGTAAGCACTGAGCTGCATGAATGTGCATATGTGCTCTACTGTTCATCTCCGCCACCAATGACATGGGGTTCGTTCCGCATGTCCTGGAACACTTGATATTATGTAGTCAAAACCCAAAATGACATGGCAATAACGAAGGAGAAAAGATTCCTGGTCATGCGACTGCTCAACGGCCACAGACCTTGCCAAAAGTAAGTGTAACCCAAGCTGTTACACAGCCAGCCGATCTCAATTGCAAAACCAAGAAGGTTCCTGCGAGGACACGCCGTGTACCGTTCCCCGATGTTACACGGCGTGACTAGTACGGACTGCCATGCAGGGTATCTGCGAAGATACCCAACCGGTGAGGCTGCGTGCTCCGGCTGCGTGGCGGAAATGCAACGGCGGAAGGTTCTATTGGGCAAATATACCGTCTGATCTCAATCAGTTGCACCTTGTTAGTTTTCTCAGCGGTCGAAACTCTGCCGATGTCTGGCTTGATAATCGCCCGGGGACGGTCCGGGACCGAGGCACCGCGAGACCCCGATGCAGCTTTCCTCCGTTGTCGCAAGCCAAGTAACTGCTGACATACAAAAGAACGACGTGCTCATGACCATGGCTAGTCAAGGGGACTCGAGCGCAAGAGGTGACTAAAAGACCGCCCAATCGTCTCGCGATCATGGAAGCGACATGGATGCTCGACTCAAAAACTGGTCTTGTACTGTTGACGCTCAGTCTCGCCGTCCTGTACCATGTCTGCTGGCATCACAATCGTCGCCTGCCCCCGGGCCCGTGGCCGTTCCCTCTTGTCGGCAATATCAGTGACCTGCCGCCACCAGGAGAGGCAGAATACCTCCACTGGCTCAAGCACAAGGACATGTACGGCCCGTTGAGCTCAGTCACTGTCCTCGGCCAGCCGCTGGTCATACTTCACGACAGAAAAGCGGCAGAGGTTCTGCTTGAGAAGACCTCCTTGAAAACGTCCGGAAGACCGCACCAGCCCTTCGCCAAGGAGTGTGGGTTCAATGAGATGCTGCCCGGAAGGCAATACAATGCGGAGTCCAAACGGCACCGAAAGTTCATGCATCAGCAGCTCGGCACCAAGAAGGCGACGCAGGCCTTTAGCGACGTACAAGACGTCGAATCCAAGCGTTTGCTACTACAAATCTTAGCCAAGCCAAAAAACCTCCGCGACCATTACAAGAAGTACGCGTCTTGTCGCCAGCTCTTATCGTTAAAGAGACTCTGCAGCATTGTTGAAGGAGGCTAACGATTTTGCGCAGAGAGACAAGCGCCATCATCTTGAGAATCACCTACGGTTATGCTGTAGAGTCGCATTCGGCCGATCCCCTTGTCAAGCTAGTGGAGGAAATGATGGACAACTTCTCCAGCGCATTCGTTCCCCTCGCGTGGATGGTCGACATCGTCCCGCAGCTGCGATATCTCCCCGAAGGCTTCCCGGGGGCAAGCTTCAAGAAGACGGCGCGGGAGTGGTACGAAGTTACAAGAAAAGTCTACGACGCCCCCTTTTCCTTCGTCCAGGAACTCATGGCCGCCGGCACCAACCGACCCTCGTTCGTCTCATCGCTCATCGAGCGGCTTCGCCATGGTAGTGAAGACGGCGAGCTGTGCAAAGAAGACGAGGAGGCGATTAAGCAGTCAGCAGCAATCTTGTATGGCGGTGGCGCCGATACCACCATCTCGTCTCTAACCAGCTTCACGTTGGCCATGCTGCTGTTCCCGGAAGTGCAGCGCAAGGCCCAGAGGGAGATTGACAATGTCGTCGGCTCGTCTTGGCTGCCCAGCTTTGAAGATCGCGATCAACTGCCGTACATCAATGCGATTGTCAAAGAGACTCTCCGGTGGTTCCCGGTCGTGCCAATCGGTACCGCGCATGCGACCGACGATGAAGTCTTATACGAAAGCTTCCGTATTCCTAAAGGAGCGTACCTTCTTCCTTCACTCTGGTGGTTCCTCCATGACCCCGACACATACGCAGACCCATCCGTCTTCGACCCAGAGAGATTCCTACCTCCCCGCAACGAGTCTGACCCGTCGAATCATGTCTTTGGCTTTGGGCGTCGCATCTGTCCAGGCCGATTCCTCAGCCAGGAGACACTCTTCATCACGATTGCTCGCATCCTGGCCACATTCAACATACGAAGGGAGACGGACGGTGAGGGCCGAGAGCTCGAGGTGGAGGTGCGCCCTACCGCCGGGTTGATCAGCGCCCCTGCCCCGTTTCCCTATCTCATTGAGCCGAGAAGCGAAAAACATGAGGCATTGGTTCGGGCGCTTGAGGACGGCCAGATCTGGGAGTCCAGCGATGCTGCCTTTCTGAAACTTCAATAGCCCTCGAGACGTACTTGCTCCACCTCAATGCCCTCGAAACAATGTGAATAGCAACCATTTGCCGTAGCTGGCTAATAAGCTGGTGGCCCCTGAATTAGTCTCTACGGGTCCTAGTTCTAATCCATATAATATTAACGCCGGCTTGCTGCAGCATGCCCCCGTGGTCCCGGGGAAGTCCCATCTTTGCCCTTTTTTGGCACTTGGATTATCGCGTCCCAATGAGGTCAACGGCTGATGCGCTGCTTCCCGAATCATGCCAATCCAACGGTGGTCACATTGCATCTTGACCATTTGCGTGAAGGAGGAGGTTGCCCTCAGGGGAGACGCCGCGCGGTGCTACTGAGCCGGCGAATAACTTGGAGTTCTGGCCGAAGGAGCAGTTGGGATGATTCGGGCAGTCTTCTGGATCATCTTAAGACCACGCCTCTGCACGCCTGGTCGGACCAGGTCAATAACGACGTGAGGGATCATGCTGCCTGACCGTCTCACTGCCATCAATCACAAGGATAGCCATGCGACATGCCACAGCTCCGCTCGACAGGCTTCCACGTCGACGACAAATATCCGGACGGGCATGCGGAGAAATGTAGCTCGGGCCGAACAGCCGTCTTTCGATTGGGCATGCTGTTCGCTAATCGTTCGCCTCGTCTGTAAATACACCAAAGTGTTACCGGGAAGGGGGCCGGCCATGCTCCGGATAATCAGAATCAGGACTACCGCGTTGCTGTCGTGCAATCACAGTACGCAGCATACCTAGTATACCCCTCGCCCGACTTCATGTGCTGCAGGGCAGGTTAGCACAGCGTTTGGCGACTTTTGGACCATGAATACTCCCATGGGGTCACTGCGGGACGAAACAGATGTGGCAGCGTGTACGTCAGGCATCAGAACTTGTCTCGTCCGATGTTGTGGAAAGCGGGCTGGAGTATAGCGGCGGTATGGCTTCGGCACAGTATAATAAGTCGAGGGCGGAGACTTTTCCCGGAACCCGACATCAATATCCTCTTCACAATCAGCACCTCGCCATTCCTTTCCAAAACTTGTTCCGGATCCCCAGATCGTCGAGATAGACCTTGCAGACTTTGCAAAATGGCAACTAGCCCTCGCCAGATCACGGTTGAGAATCATTCGGGGTCAACTCAAAGCTATCTCTTCTTCAGCGAAGCACTGGAACCCTCAAGCTCTGCCAGCAAAGCCCTCAGTAGCCTCTGGGTCATGTCTCCTTACGTGGTTTCCACAAACCATGACCACGCCCATCCCGACGATCATGTCGGCGACTCTGTCACCAATGGTACGGCCACGAAGTCAGCCCGCAGCGGCGAGACCGTCACCTGGTCCAGCGCGGCAAATATGGAGACGTTCAGCGCCGAAAAGCTCCGTAAACAAATTCGTGACACGTCCCCCAAGTGCGCTGCCTCCCCTGGGCTAATCTTGAGGCTTTCTCACAGGCATTCACTATTACGGACTCGACAAGCCAGTCGCCACGCACCCTGTCGATTTGGGTGCCGTGGGGGATGAGCCCGCCGTGGCAGGCGAGGGGAGCCCTAAAGACAAGTATTTCATTGGGACGGGATGCCACGATGGCACCGATCTGCCTGTTGACACCAGCGCCTTGGAAAATGGTCCTGAGGTCGACTTTGCCCAGGCCGCGAGCGGCCAGACGGTCGCCGTCATCAAGCACTACAGCGATGGAACGTTTTCGCATCCAATATGCCACTACCCTGACGACGCGTTGGCTTGAACAGAACCCTAGCAGAGCCTGCCCAGTATTCCGCCAGGCAGGGCGTCTTTGGGTGCCACGTCCACGGACCTCTCCCTCGCTGGCTGCGGCACTTCCCTCCATGCCATCGACACGAAGCACGACTAGTCACTCGTTCATGTTCTACCTAGATAGCAAGAGGGAATCAAGTGGCACCACCTGAAAAGCCCAAAGCCTTAGCAGTAAACTCACTAAAAGACCAGACCGGTGGAAGGCAAATGAGGATTTGGCAATATACTCAATCCCTTCACGTCCATCACTCTCACTACTTTTGGCATTGGTTTCACCTGTGATACAAAATGTGACGATGTATGACTGTCCCTCGTCTCACCTGTGATATCCATTGCTATGAGTCTGCCACACTCTGATCTAGAACGTCTCCGCATCGACAGCACATACAGCACCCAGCCGGGATGCAGCATGCAGCAATGGGCCATGCCGTAATCTTCGTGCTAGGCTTGTGGAACAGCTCAGAGTTCGCATCGGCCGCAGGTTGCCCGAATGCCACTGGGTTAGGATACCTGCTCTAGGCAACCAGATAGGGAATGCCGGGGTTGGCGTCCTACGAACAACGCACAAGGCGCTTGACACGTAGCTCCATAGGTCATGTCGGAAGATATTGACTCGTCAGGCGAATGGGCTCCGAGCCATGACCAAACCTTCTGATGGGATACCCAAAACTTGATGTAGGGGAACGTTGGGGACGTCCACTTCAGCAAGGATGCTGAATGAAAATATCTTTCGTGTCCCCGGATGAGAATAAAACGGCAGCAACTTCCCTCGAGGGCACACGTCAAAGTTCCACCTCACCATCGCCATCTACAACAGCACGCCACTCATTCAATCTTTTCCAGACTCCCCCAAGGTCTCCAGACTGCAACCGACTGAAGATTTCACAATGACAAGCAGCAACTACGTGATCAGGGTCCTCAACCTGTCAGAAAAGCCCCAAGACTTTGTGTTTTTCAACGACGCACCAAAGGCCTCGAAGTCCGATCAAAAAATCTGGCCCATCATCTGGATGGGGGCTTCCGGCGTCGCTGCCCAGGACAGCGCCCAATTCGACGCAAAGGCAGGCAACTATGCCATCTGCGGCGCGACCCCGATTCAGATCGAACACGGCGTCAAAGTCACCACGGCCAAGGCCGTCAACGTAGAGCTGACGGGCGCTCACAAGGACGGCACCGCTCCGCTCATGGACGTTGTCGTTGACGGGGCGCAGTTCGTTGAGCCCTACGGCACTACGAAGAAGGACTACTCCTTTGGCATCCATACCACGGCATTCGACGCCGACCGCCATGGTAGGCAGCTGTTGAGATTCCACGAGGGAACGGATGGCCATGGGCTGACGTTTGGAGTCTGAGCAGATACAGCCTTTTGCGGGTACGGCAAGGAAAACGCCGAGGGCGACGTCGTTCCGGTTGCCGTTTGGCGAGCCGCGCCCAGCGAGCACTACGAGCTGACGCCCAAGATCGCGTACCATGTGGGAACGGCAAACGTCGCCCCAGGCACTGCCGTTGATATGAGCACTTTGGGCGAGGTTCGCAAAATCGACTTTTCCAAGGCCAAACCTGGCCAGACGATCGCCACCGTCAAGCTTCGCAGTGACGGAACGTACACGGAACCGCACTTTGAGCGCCCTCCTGTCAAGCACGCTTGAGCCGCGCTGCTCTCACTGAACTCGCTCCACTGGGCATGGCCTGCTTAGGCGCCTGGTTCGCTCAAGTCGTCATTTCCACGAGCTGCACTTCTTTCCTGTCAATGGTGGTCACGCGTTTGGCTACAGGGACAAGGTAGTGGATAGTCTGACAATATACTTACTCCATCGACCACTGTGCCATACACCTGCCTACCTGCGTTGGCCCTTGGTTGACAGTCGACTGTGCACGGCAATTGATGAGCAATTTGCCTCGTGAAAGCTGTTGAGCCTTGATGTCATGTCGTCAATGAACCAAATGAGCCTGCCGCTCCACCTCTGGAGCTGTAGGTGTGCTTCCGCTCGGTCCCGCCTTTTAGCGCACCTAGTTACTGCGCTCCACCAAAAAGTCCAGCATCCATACAACTTCGAACATCTCAACCTCACGACAGCTACCCAGCTACCGACCTGCCACCTGCGCCCCGGTCCGCCTCCCCAGGGCAGTCAACCTCTCTTCCTCGGCGTACCCCCTTGACCTACGCACCTCGCCTGTCGTTTCCGATGCGGCGTTTCGCTCTACTACCGCCAGCATCATGACGCCCTCCCCCCGCGCGGCGCTGCTGCTCGCCCCCTTCCCAGCGCCATCCAAGCTCCTTGTCGACGCAGCGCTGCCATTGTTCGCGCGTCGCATGTCCTCTTCCTCTCCCGCTCGGAGCCGCGATTCGGATACCTCCGCCTGGCCGCTGCTCAAGCGTCGCGCCCGGCCATCACACGACACCAGCGCCGGTGCGGCTCTCGGCCAAGGGCTCCTCGCACGCCTCGACACCACATCATCACCATCCTCCCTCGCCGTCGAGCAAGGCGCCGCCTCATCCGCCGTCGCCGCCAAAACAGACCCGCGCGTCATGCTCACGATCCACGGCCTGAGCACCAACCTCAACGCCAGCGACTTCTACCGCATCGCGCCGAGTGACCTGTCCAGCTGGCACAGCGTCATCAAGAAAGGTGCGTCTTTGTCCTTCACTGAATAGTGCGCAAGAGGGCCGCCCTGACACACCACCGCAGTCCAGCAGCAGCGCGACCCCTCCACCCTCGAGCCCCTCGGCCGGTACCACGTCTCCTTCTCCACGCCCGCCGCCGCGACCGCCTACCGCGACCGCCTCGTGCGCCTGCACCGCCTGGCGCGCCACCGCCTGCGCTCCGAGAGCGGCCTGTGGGAGGCGTCTACGCCCGCGCACCTGCGCTCTCCCGGCGTCGAGCCCGCCGCCGAGCTCGCAGCCTTTACAGTCGCACCACCACCCCCGACCTCGTCGTCGTCCTCGTCGCGTGCGGGCCTGGATGTCGAGAAGCGGCGCGTCTCTGCCGGTGCCGGTGCCTGGGCGAGGCAGCTCGCCGACCTCGTTCGCGGGGCGGAGCACGGGTACGGTGACAAGCCCCCCGTTGTGCTGCTGCGCGTGTATCCGCCTACATTGTCTGCCGAGGACTTGCGAAGGAGCATCAAGGAGGATGGCGTCGCTAGGGGGTGCAGATGGAAGGTCTCCGCGCCGCAGCAGCTCCAGCAGCAGCGGGCGCAGCGAGGCCATGACAGGGACGAGGGAGGGGACTCGACGCATCGGAAGGTTTCGTCTCGTGCCCACGACGATCGGGACACGCCAGAGACGCTACGGGGCAGGTTCGTTGTCGTCTGTGCGAGCGAGGCCGAGGCGCGGCGCTTCCACCGACACTGGAACCAGCGCGCCCTTCCAGCGGTGCATAACAGCGACGGCGTGGCATCGTCGCCCACGGAAAACATGATCCATGCATCGATAATAAACTGGTAGCCGCCTGTAAATATCACTGTGCCTGTTCTCCTCCCCCACCTATCGAGAAGTGTCTCTGTACAGCCAGTCCCCCGTCTCGGTATCTCTATCTTCCTCACGCATGCACGCCAGCCAAATCGCTCTCATCGCAAGTGCAACTCTTCTCCTCGGTCATCTTGCCCACGGACAGCCAAACGACGTCGCACCCCACATCGAATCCGCGTCCACATCGTCGTGAGCCGAGCGTGAGAGCGAGCGCCTCCTCCATACATGTCAACAGCCTCCCGAGTCCGCCGCGCCGGTCTGGTCTAGCGCAACGCACAAGAGCATGTATTAAACCCAGATGAAACAAAAACCAAGAAAAGATAACTCCGGACCGTGTCTGCTGCTTTCTTCTAAAAGAGGCGTGTGCGTGCTCCAGTACGTGAGGGTGTGCGTGCAAAGGTAAGAAAACGTGGAACATGGGTTTGTCGGGATGAACGCGGAGCAACGTGAACCATTCGCCGCAAGGATCTCCTGCTGAGGCAGTCCTGTCGGTCCCAGGGCGTTTCGTCCCCGCTGTGCTCGCCTCGCAACCGGCAGGCAGCCGCAAGCCGTGAGATGCGGGCGATTCCAAACAAACAAAAGCGGCAATCGTGTCGTTGGTGCTGTGCTCGTCTAGCAGCACTTGCCGCCCGCCTCGCTCTTGTCACCGACGTTGACGCCGGCACCGGCGGGCTGGTCGTTCTTGGAGTTGTCGATGAGGCGCTTCTTGATGTCGGCGGCGAGGCTGTAGAAGGCCTTGTCGATGTTGATGTTGCTCTTGGCGGAGACCTCGAGGAAGGGGATGCCGAGCTCGTCGGCGAGGGCCTGGCCCTGTTCTTGGGAGACGACGCGCTTGTCCTCCCAGTCGCACTTGTTGCCAATCAGGATCTTGTTAACGCCCTCGGTGGCGTGCTGCTCGACGTTCTGGAACCACGTGCGGATGTCTGTGGGTAGGGCATCATTAGCTGGGCTGCTACTGTGGTACTGCAAGAAGGGGAAGGAAAGCACGCACTGTTAAAGGACCGCTCGTCGGTGACGTCGTAGACGAGCAAGATGCCCATGGCGCCACGGTAGTATGCGGTGGTGATTGTGCGGAAGCGCTCCTGGCCGGCCGTATCCCAGATCTGCAACTTGACGCGCTTGCCATCGAGCTCAATGGTGCGGATCTTGAAGTCGATGCCAATGGTGGTGATGAAGGACGGGGTGAAGGAGTCTTCGCTGAAGCGCAGCAGGCAGCACGACTTGCCGACGCCGGAGTCGCCAATCAGCAGCAACTTGATCTGTAGGGGGCAGGTCAGCGTTTGGCCTTGCCGTCATTCATCGTCGTCGCCAGCGTCGCCCGCCGCAGGCTCTCGAGACCCTCAGTGGTGGCAGCATCGGCGGCTTGGCAGGCTCCGCACAGGCGATGACGCGCGAGGGGGAGATGCGAGCCCGCACCATCAGGAGACGCCGGCGGCGGAGACGACAGACGACGACGACAGACGAGGGGCGGGGATGAGGCGTACCAGGAAGTCATAGTTGCGGTTGTTCGGCATGGTGGGCGGTGACGACGACGTTCGTCGAGCGAGCGTTGCTGGTCAGGAGGGCGGTCGTCGGAGGTCGAACGGGGGGCCGGCGGGTCTGACGTCTGCGGTCGCAAGGCGGGCTCGTCGAGGGGAAGGGAATCGAGGAGGTTTATCGCGTCGGGGAAAGGGTGCGCGTGCGTGACGAAATGGCGCGGACGGCGGCGATCGATTCGAGTCGCGACGAGGCCGGAGTTGGCGGTGCGGGCTGCGGCTGCGGTTGCGGTGCGGTGCGAGATGAGATGAGATGCGCAAGTGGCCTTTGTGGTGTCGTGGACGGGGAACGTGGAGTTGGACGGGCGCAGCCTGACGTGGTCAGTCGTGGCGGTAATACTCCGTCAAGTGCGTCGTAGCGAATGGCACCCCAAGGAGCGCTGCGGTGGGCGGTGGCGGTGGCTGTTTTTGCCCCTGTCGGCGGCGTCGGCGGCGGCGCTGGCGGGTTGCAGGCGCGCGGCCTATTCAATGGACGTGGTGAGCGGCGCAGCGGTTCGAGGCCCCGTCCGCCCAGTTGTGTTGCGCGCTGGACGACGCTGCCAGGCACCACCCACGGCGAGCGCTGCAGGTACCGAGCTACTGCGGCGGCGGCGCTGATGAGCTGACAACAGCAGCACGGGCAGCACAGGTCCCGCCCGCCTTTGCGTTTGTTGTTTGCTTTTGCCGCACCGGCTGTCGGCAGCGGATTTGTTTGGAGCTGAGATGGAGGACGGACTGGCAGACGTCGCTGCTGCTCGTTGTACGGAGAATGCTGGACTGGGGGATAATTCGCGATATTGGAAGCAGCACGGAAGGTTGCTAGATCATGGATGCCTGGGTCGCTCGGGCGGCTCCTATTCGTTCCATTGCAGCGAGCGCCCGGTTGGCCTGCCTGCCCGCCTTCACGTGGCCGCAGCGGGTCAGGTTAGGATGACGAACTTATGCTGTGCTCCAAGCCTGGTTCGAGGAGCTGTAAGTAGTATGTACAGCTCATGCCGCATTTCGCACAGTGTCTCGTGCACAGGATGAGTGCGGCCAGCCAATGACGCAGCGGCTCGCCTCGCCGCCCGACATACAACACCGTGCGAAAATCACCTTGGAGAGCCACTGATTGATTACTGATGCCTGCATGCGCGACCAAACTCTCCTCCTCCACGCACAAGCAGCGATCATGAATGAACATTCAGTGCTGCCTTCACCGTCGCCTACAAGGCACCCATTGGTTATCTCGCCGTCAAGGTGGTGATCGTCGTCTCAAGCATTCGACGCTAAGAATCGCCGATGTTTCACATCGACAGCGGCACCGCACCCTTGCGTCTCACATGCAAAAGCGCCTTGGCGGCGACTTACACGCCCGGCTGTTCATCATTGATGACTTTGTCTTGAGCCATGTAAGTTATTGTCTGTAGCTGCTGATGTTTTGATACAGATCAAGCAAGGGCCATAATGATATACGGACTCATGCGGTACTAGAACAAGTCCTCTTGGCCCTGGCCCAGCTCTGACCGCTGCTTCAAATACTCATCACTTGCAGTCGCCAAAGCTTCCCTGGCATCCCTCGCCGCAGTGTCGACTCGACGTCCCGCACCAGTTCATGCTCGAGCAGCAGCTACCGTAGGCGCTGCCCCGGCACGTCTGGCCCTTGTCAGCGCCGCATCTCCCGTCGGTCGACGTCTTGGACCCTGCCGCCTCAGAGCCGTACCCAGTGCCGTTCGACGGCGGCATGGACGACACCGCCGCCGGGGCGCTCGCTACCGCCGTCGCCGTCGCCGTCGCGTTCGTATCGGCTCCTCCTCCAGTCGACCGCTCGTGGTTGTCCCACGGCTTCGGAATGTCACCCGGCACCTTGGCCGTCAGCTCCTTGCCCTGGAACGCCGGCGGACCCGAGACGTCCTTGCCGCCGCCACACACGCCTTCCATGCTCTTGCAGTAGTCCTGCCACACCTTGCAGTTGGCGCTGCCGCTCGGCGGCGCGCTGTCCCAGCACGTCTGGCTCTGTTCGTAGCACTGCTTCGTCGCCGCCCAGCAGCCAGTCGCCGACGTGTACTTGGCCAGCGGCTTGGCGCACCAGTTTGCGTTCTTGATCAGACAGTCCGAGGGCACCGCGCCCTTGAAGTCACCCGGCTTCTGAACAGTTGGTGACGAGCTCGAGAGGTCCTGTGGCTTATTGTTGCCGGCAGCAGGCGGGCCCGCGGGGATGTACACTTTGGGACCCGGCATCGGGTACGGCAGCAGCGGCTTGTTGTAGATGTTGTACGTCAGGCCGGGGGACGACATCGCGACGTACCCGGGGATGCTGGCCTGGAACTCCTTGGGCACGTCGAGCTTGCCCTCGGGGCCATCCTGGACGTATATCTGCGCGCACCCGGCGTAGAACTGCGGGTCGCCCGCTGCGGGCACGTTGTGAAGAGCGAGGATCTCGGGCCGCACGAGGTAGTACCCTCGCGGCAGGCCCGGCGGCAGGTCGACCGACAAGAGGCCCTTCTTGGCGATGAGGCGCGTCACGCACCACTCGCCCGTCTTGGCGTCGAGACCGTCCTCCCAGATCTTGAACCACCCGGGGCCCACCGCTGTGTCCTTGTACATGTCGTCCACCTTCTTGACGTACACGGCGCAGGGTCCCAAGTGGCCGTCGGCGATGGCGCCCTCCTGCTCGCCCGTCGAGTACATGCGGAACTCGAACGTCAGCGTGGCCTTGCCTGGCGCGGGGCACGTGTACGCGACGGCCTTGCCGCCATCACGGTCTGTACGCGGTGGTGTGTCAGCTGTTGTCTTGTGTATGTGAATGGCAAGACGTGGCAGTGAATATTGGCAAAGGGGCAAACGCACTGCAGGCCATGTCATCACCCGTGACAGGACGTATTGGGCCATTCGCTGTGGCTCCATTCATCGGCATCCTCACACACGTGCCATCGCCCTGGTTCTTGCCGTTGATGAACAGCGTCGTAAACAGCGTGTGGGCGCTCGCCGCCGAGACGAGGCCCAGGACCGTGAGAACCTTCATCGCGAAGACGCAAGTGTGATTTGCCCTTCTACAAAACGCGTTGCTGCTATCGTGAAGCCAAGTTGTAAAAAGTGACGGTATAAACGGTCACCAAAAGTCGCACCAGGTTGGTTTGTATACCCTGTAACAAGGAACAAAGGAAGGGGAAGAAGAGAGAAGGCAAGTTTCGGTTCTCGCGCAGCGGCCCCGCGAATTTAAAGAATAGAACAGAGCGGCCGTTGTCTACCGGTCAAATGAACGTGTGATAAAGTGTTGCTGCTGCAGAAAAAGGAGTGCTTGCTGCCAGCTGTTGCGCGTGCGAAGGAAGTGATGAAGGAGAGTCGCCCAGACAAAAGCGCGCCCGCGTGCCACTGTGCGTACCTCTGCGTCCGATTCACAGGTACAGGCCCCAGCAGTCAAGGAGTGTGAAGTAACAGCGATACAACACAACACTGAGAAAGTGACAAAGGGCAGGCGACAGCTGGCAAAGAAGACCAAACTCGCGCTTAGGCGGAGAGAGACGCACGACGATGCCACGAGGAGGGCCTCGTTGTGTCGATGAAGCAAAAGCAGGCGGGCACCGAGAGAGAATAAATGAACGTCGACAGCCACTCACACGCACACACGCTATACCTTGAAGGTCGCCTGGGGTCGGTTCTTCTTATATGCTGGTCGAGCGGCTGCTGTGCAGACTGAATGCCTCGTCGACAGGGTACAGTGACGCTCTGCACGACCGCACGAGCCAGGGCGGCGGCTACCCAAGCTGCCAGACACTTGGGCAACTCAACTCTACGTTGGGCGAGCCTCCGAGTTCATCTATAGTGCCTCTTCCATCCTTCAATATGCCGCTACCTTCCCCTGATCTCCCCGGCCAGCATCCCCATGCTAAAGCTTGGGTATCCAAGGTAGGAAAAGGTTGGTAGCCGCCCTACCTCCCCGCCTCCTCAAACCGCCTCCCCTCCGTCCTGCACGTCATCCGCAGCCATCCAGCCAGCCAGTCTTGCATGCATGCATGCACGCAGGGCCGCTGCTGCCGCCGTCAGGCCCGGCCAGCCCAATCCAAGAGCCGCAAACACACACAAACCGCTGGACAGGATCTCGTACGGCGAGGCAGACATCCCGCTCTTCAGCGTACTCGTAAAACAAAACAACCCCCCCTTGGCGAATGGCAGACCCGACAAGGGCGGTCCTCGGCGGCGAGTCAGCTCACGCATGTCGTTGCCGCCGCCCAATGGACGCCTCGGGGAGGCCAAGAGGTGGCCGGCCTTGAAACGAAACGAACGGCCTTATAATCGGCGCCGCGGGCCGCGACCCAACGACCAGGCGAGAAGCACCCCCCCTTCGTCGCACAGCGCCTACTATACTTCACACTGCACGAAATGGCGCCGTCCATACAGGAGGTGCGAACTGTAAGGGACTATCGCCGCCGCACTGTCAACGCCGGCCTGCCCGCCTAGGGGAAGCCCCCGACCAGCAACACGCCGAGAGCAAAGCACAAAAAGCAGCACGACCCCGTGAGGAGGCCCGATGAACCCACATAGGGGGGAACAAAAGGGGGCCCGGGAGGTGTCCAGGCGCCGTCTTGCGTTTCAACATGCGAGTGGCGAGCGACCAACGGGTGTGTTTGCGCGTTGGGCCCCCGTCTTCATGGCAGGAACCCCCCCCCCCCGCGGGCTGCGCGCAGCAAAACGTTGCGTCGGACAAGGAGCTTTGGCGGGCGCGTCGAATCTCGACTTTTGAGGTCCCCGTGACATGCGGTACCACACAGCGAAACACGGTGGCGGCCAACAACGACGCCTTTCATATCGGGCCTTCGCGTCGAAGAAGTGCGCGTAACCCCCAAGACGGGCGACGAACCTTGCATCTCCTGTCTTCATAACCGGAGCGGGGAACGGGGGTTCCTCATGTTCAAGACCTGGTGAGTGCTCTGTCTCGTCCACGTAACGCCCCGAGCCGGAATCAAGCAAGCAAAAGGACCGAGCCCGGTGCAACAGTCAACGATTGAGTGGAGATTTGAACATGGAATCTGCGCGGTCCTGAGAACTACTACCTCGTACACCTCGCACCACTTCCCGTCTCCCCCCGCGTTCAAGCATTTTTTACATTAGATACCGCCGTCCCCAGACACACTGCGAGAGATCCCATCTCCAAGTTTTCCCCTCCCCATATTCTCGATCGCGACGTCTTGCCGTATGGTACAGTATAGTACAGTTCCTTGTCCCGATGGTCGGCGCCGCCTTTGCTTTTTGAGTTTTGGTCCGCGTGGGTGGGTATCGTCTTTACTCGTTGATCTTGGCCAGGATCCTGTCACAGGGCGTTAGTTTCCAACATCGTCCGCGAGGTCACCATTGTTGAGGGGGAGCTGCTTGGGTGAACTTACTCGCTGTCACGGAACAGCTGGTACTCCTCCTCACCGGCCTTGACGGGCGAGCCACCAAACTGCAAACCCTCGCGTTAGCACATTCCGTTTCTATACAATATACAAAACCGCCAGTAGCCGCAACCCAGCGCGCGCCTCCGTCATGTCATCCAATGTAGGACGGCGCCGCGTAGAGAGCAGCCAACTTCGGGGGATAGGCGCCGGCATACCTGAGGAATCAGCACCCGGTCGCCGACGGCGACACCCATGGGCAGGCGGTTGCCCTTCTTGTCGAGCGCGCCGGGCCCGACGGCCAGGACCTTGGCCTCGTTGAGCTTCTCGACGCTCGACTCGGGCAGGAAGATGCCGCTGGCCGTCTTGGTCTCGGCCTTGACGCGCTGGACCAGCACGCGGTCCAGGAGGGGCGCGAGGGCGCGGATGGATCGAATCGAAGTGGCCTATTCCACCGGGGTGTTTCGCGCGTCAGCCAGTCTGTTCGTTACGCAGTCGCTCACTCCCGCACTCGGCCAGCGAGCCTGCAAGCGCCGCGCCTCGTTTCCCCCGTAGAGCCCTGCCGTCGCCGTGCCGTGCTAGTAGCCGAGGGCTATCCGAGGAGCGCATGCCGAGCGCGTGCTTCTTCTCCACGACCACAGCTTCGTCTGGCAGGCGGCACGGCCCGTGCAGCGCTTCCAAGTATAGAGAGATACACGTACCATTGTGATTATAATGTGTATGGGTCGAAGGAGGCTTCGCGGGATGCAATGACAGAGCAATTGGAGTCGGTGAAGGGGGCTGATGGTCGGGCTCGAAGTTGGCTGCTGGAGTTGAGAGACGCCGGGCGGGTGGAGCTGCTTTCCAACAGCTTCCACAGCGGCAGCGAATTTTTTCGACCAGCCCCGAGCTGGCTGGCAACGGCCCCCCGGCAGCCCCGGCAACTGATTTCCCCGGTTCCGACCATGGCAGTGTACCTCCGCAACCGCTCCATCCTCGGCGCTCCACTTGCATGCGGCAGTTGCCGAACAGCTTCCCTCGCCGAGCCGACTCGCACCGCCATGTCACATCGCAGCGCAAAGAGAAGGCATCTTGCATGCAACGTCATCATGCGCCACCAGAGGCAGCATCATTGGAAATTACCTGTCTACGGAGTACTACTCTATCCAATGTCCTGTATCCAATACCCTTGCGGCCCCCCTTTAATGTCATGTTCAGACTCGCCTTGCGCAGTCTGCCTTCTCTTCATGATGCCTGTCAAGTGAAACATGTCGTCCGTAGCTAGCCATTACACGAGACCTAGTCTCCTCGAACCCCAACGCCCTTGATTATTGCATTCAGTATGCCTTCCGCGTCGCATCTCACGTCTTTGGCTGAGGCTGCGACGCAGGCGGCTCGAGCACGTGGGTGTGGTCCTCGGCGGGAATCACCTCGCCGTGTTCGAGCTGCTGGCATATCACCGTGTCGGCCACCCACGGTTCCTGGAGGATTTCGTCCATCTTGGCGCGCGTGGCCGGGTTCAGGTCGAGCATCCGGTGAACGATGTGTCGGCTGTCTCGTGGCAGCAGCCGGAGAATACGCCAGGGGCCCCGGATGACCTCCTTGCGCTCTCCAGTTGCGCCGTCTTTGTCCTTGTGATGGTGGTCGCCATGATGAGACGTCGTCTCCGAGTTGTCGCGCTTGTGGCTATGGTGCTCCTTCTCCTTGACCTCATCCTCCATCAAAAAGTCCCGCGCGGGCGTGCTGGCTAGCTGGCTCTCCGACTTGGACGGGCGTAGCAGCCGGTTCGGGTCGTGACCGGGGGTTGGGTCGGCGGCGAACAGTTTAAAGGAATTGTCCGTCATCCGTGGAATCTTCCACGGGAAACGCCGCAGGGTCATGCAGCAGAAGATGATAGCGAGGGACCAGATGTCCACGGCCGCCGCGTCGTACTCCTTGGTGTCATACACCTCTGGAGCAAGGTACGGATCAGAGCCGACGATGCCTAATTTTCACAGTCAGCCAATGTATCGTGTCTAGGGTCTCAGAAGTACTCACCCTTAGCTGGAACCTCGCCGTTCTCAAACGGATACCTGAATACGTGTGCACTGCCAAAGTCGATAATCTTCATGATGCCCTTGTCGCTCACCACCACATTGTCCAGCTTGAGATCGCGGTGGGCTAGGCCGACGCTGTGCAGGTAGGTGACTCCGTTCAGGATCTGCAGAAAGCAGCATCGAATCTCCTCGCGCGACATCTTGCCCGTCATGACAATAGCAAACAGGTCGAACGGCGCGTACTCCATCACCTCGAACCATCGCCCCTTTTCCTGGAGAATGTCCAGCGTCTCGATGATGTTGCCGTGATGGAGGGTCGACCCGACACAAAATTCCGCCGTGACCTTCTTATTGTACTCCTTCTCGGTCTCATACGTGTGGCGTGCCCTGAACTCCTTGACCGCGAATACCGTGCCGTCGTCCTTGCGCCTCATCAGCCTGACCGACCCGCCGGCACCCGAGCCCAGCACTTTGCCAAGCTTGCCGTATTTGGAAGTGAGACCGTGGTCCTCGCCAAACGGAAGCTGCGTCGTCGACCGCGAGCTCGGCGGGGTCTTAGTGCCGGTCTTGATCGATGGAGCGGGTGACGCATCCCTCTTCTTTTGATGGTGTTTATGATGGCCCGATTTCCGGAAGAAGCGCTTCAGGTCGACCATGGAGCCACCGTGACCCGGGGCATGGCCGCTGTCGCTGAATTCCTCGCTGCCATTCTTGGTGCTGAAGAAGCCGGAGCCTTGCTTCTCCGACAGGCTCGACTTGGACCCGCCGGGCGAGCCGTGCTTCTTCTTCCGGGAGAAGACGAATCGGGGGTCGATGGAGTGTCGGGTCGGGTGCGAATGCTGAGGCGGGCGTCGGCCCTTGGCATACGGGTCGTTGGCATCACCACCGGGGGTCACGGGCTTGGAGTAAAAGTTGGACGCCTCTCTGCGAGACGGGCTCGATTCTCGAGAGGTGGGAACTGAGGAGCCGCCTCCGCCAAACATGCCCCTTCGGTGCGACTTGTGGTCCTCTGCCGAGGATGACCTCCGCATGACCTGGTCGGATGACGCCGGTCGGTGAGCGAGGGAGCCCCTGATGGCGGCGGACGGTTTCTCGTGTGACGAGGTAGGCTGCGGGGTGATGGATGGGGGCTCGCTGAGACCCGAGGTCCGGTCGCCAGCTTCCTTGCCTGGCCGTCTCTCTCCTGCGCCTGACGGGCCCGACCCAGCCGGGGTCAAGGGGGGCGAGGCCAAAGCCGAGATCCTGGGGCTACCATGGGGAGACTGTATTTGGGAGGAAATTGGGGTGGATAGCCTGGTTGAGTCGGGAGACTCGTCATCCCGAGAAGGCACCTGCAGGATGAAGCGTCAGCGATTTTCTAGTGGTCGCAATAAGCTGCGCGACAGTGTCTCAGGCTCGGCAAGAGAGCGGAAGCTGAATTGAAACTTACTCTCGACGGAGGCAAAGAGAATGCCTCGAACTGGAAGGTGTTCATGCGACGTTCCTGGAGGGGCTTGCCCTGCAGCGACTTTGTCGCAAAGGCCCTGAGCTGGTCGGCGGTGGCCTCGGTGATGCTGTTGTCCTGCTCGAGCTGGGGAACGGTCGCGGTCGCGGTCGGAGAAATCTCCTCGACGGCGGAGGAGAAGCGAACGGCGGGGACATCGTTGCGGAGCTTGCCGTCGTCGTCGGCGGCGGCAGGCTGGGATGTGGGATGCTCAGCCGGCGCAGCTGTGGATGGCGATGCATGTCAGCCAACTGGAACTGGACCGACCGATGGCGGGCCGGGTTCGGACGCAGGTCAAATGTCCATGGCCGGGCCGGCGGTCACGAAACAATGCGGCGAATGATGCGGCGCGGGGAGCGACAGGAATGTCACTGGGAGGGGAGGGGGAGGTGGAGGGGTACCGCTCCCGGGACGATCGGGAGAGACGCGAGGGACTGGGCGCAAGACATACTGTTGGGGCCTGGGACTGCAGCGTCCCGGCGAGGCTGTTCGGACGCCATGGTGAGCGCGGGATGGAGTCTCCAGCTTGTCGACGCGATTGCTAGATGTCTGGGTGCCCGAGGAGGGCGGTCGTGAGACCGTGAATGGGATGGCAGACGGGCGGGGGGGAGAGAATGGCAGAGAGAATGGGGGTTTGAAGAAGTCAAAAGTCATGGAGCGGATGGACGGTAGGAGGTGGAGCTAAAAGAGTGAATGACTGCTTGCCCCGAGTGACGGCGGCTGCGAAGGTCGCGGGCATGGCGGCGTCGGAGGGGCCGCTTTGGGGAGCCGGCGGGATGCTCCAGCGGGCAGGCGAGTGCTGCCTGCCCGGGGCGGGCTGCGCAATCCGTCGTCCATGGATGGATCCCTCGCAAGCCTTGGGCCATCCGTGGAGCGCTCGGGTGAGCCAGCCCGGCCGAGGTTTCCTCCAGTAGGTGAGCGGCTACAGCAGCCTCTGACGCTGGCGCTGCTCCCGGCGAACGACGACCCAAGCCCCCGGAAGGCGCCCGATTCAAGACGACCTGGGAGGCGCGCGCTGCGACGTCCGCTGTGGAGCCCTGCAGCCCCCACCTCACCCTCTCTCGTCTGCGCTCTGTGCAGGCGATTCCGTGCCCTTGATTGCTGCTGGCATCCTGGGCCGTGGCGGCGGCAAACAAGAGGCGTTCGACGGGGTTGCTGGATAGAAGCAAATTTGTTCCTCGAAACTTCCACCGGGCCCTGTTCCAAGGCGGTTGGAGCCTCCACCCGCCGCCGCCGCCGCGGCTGTAGAGTTGCCGCTGCGTGCGCAACATGCAGCCACCGACGAACCCTGCCTGCAGGTCGCCGATGCGGCACTGCACAAGGTTTGTACGTGCCTATCGCCCCTTGCGAAAAATGATACCCGTATTGCTACCTCGCCGCAGGTTCACTGCAGTGGTATGCACACCGAGTCTTGCGCAGCTCCCGAGTGGTTGCGCGGAAGCACGTGCTTATCGGTGCAGTGCAGTGCAGCACGCAGCACTGGCCGCCCACCGACAGCGGGACGCGCGCGCGCCCAAGCTCCCTTGCCATGGCCAGCAGCTGGTCACCGCGCGCATCTTGGGCCTGCGTTTCTCCATCAATCTCACGTCGTGTAGAAGAAGTAATACTACAGAAAAATCTACGCGACGTCACGGCACCCTGAAGGAAAAAATTTTCATAACATGTTTGCGACAGCCACCTCGTCGACCATGATGCGCCGCCTTGGGGATAGTCGGGCCTGCCACCCGCCGTCCATGTGCCGCCACTTACTCGCAGGCGGCCGGACGCAGCCAGGGACCAACACCCAACAGGCAGTACAGCAGGCGACCACCTCACTCGCCCATTCCGCACTTTTTCTTCACGTCGGCGGGAAGCGAAAGTAACCTATGGCCAACACACGCCGCCGGCACTACCGTTCCTACCTGCTGCATTTACTGCCCCTGGCTTGCTCAGCGCAGAAAAAAATTTGTTGGGCGGCATTGGCCACTGCTTCCCGGCATGATGTTCCCATTGGCCGGCCGGACAGCTTGGATGCTGGATTCGGACGCAAGGTTCCTGACTCTCCCGCGCTGCCGGCGGCCCAACCACAGCCGTCTCCCGCCGACCGTGCTCCGGCCGTATTCCCGGAAGCGCCCGCCGTGCGTGCTATTATTCACGGGCCCCCATCAGTTTGTCATGCCGCGACGCGGTCTGCGGCGACCCGGCGAGAATTCCCTACGGTCATCGGCCCCTTGGCAGAGTCTCGATTGCACGGCCCGAGGGTCCAAGACATCGCCAAGCGAGGTGACTCACGAGATTAATGGCATCTCGGCCGTCTCGCATCAAACCCAAGCATTGGCAGCAGCCACGCCTCCCACACATGCTTGCTCTGCTATGCTCGTACTCGTACACGCGACAGCAGACTTAAATAACCGATGTGCCGGTGACATCTCGACCGCGAGGTCTATCCAACCGGTGACCCACTGTGGGTTTTGGATTTCTTGCTTGGCTCCCGCTGTTTATTCTTGGATCGCTGGACCCGGAATTTCCAGAAGCCCCAACGGCACGCAGCTTCGCCAATGGCGTCGCACAGGAGCATCAAGACCGCGCTGTCAAGCTTTTTCTTTGGTCCCCGTCGCTGCGTCACTGTGACTCTGTCACTTGACTCACGGAGCTTGAGCTCTGGGCCGTCGCATTGACATCTGTGTTGAGCGACCAGACCGCCAATGTTGGGGATCAAGTCACCCTCTCGCGGATAGGTACCTGCGTCGTCGGGCTTATACTGCGGTATAGCCCTTCTCCCTCGCAACTCGGCTCGTCCGCCGGCGGCTGCTGCATATGAGGAGTTAATCGCGACGCGTAACCCATCGTCTGATGCTGCATCCTTGGCCCTTCAGCTGGCACATTTGAGTTGGAGACGGATTGGCCCACTCGCATTCGTCATCGCGGCTCTTATCTGAGTAAGGATAATGACCCAGTGTCCCGTCAATCGAGGAACTCTAAGGCACAAGGTACTCGTCGGCACTGCTGCTCGGGATCTTCAAACCCGGATCACATGACTGTCCGTGGTAGCCTTGATGCGCCCGCCTTGCATCATATATCATCCACGGCAACATGTGAACCCCGGCGCATGGCCATCATACAGACCTCATGGACACTGTGAACAGTGAAATGACATCTCCAAAAACACAAGCGTAAAATCGTACAATTGTCCTCTAGATGGTATCTGTAACATGTTGTACACTGGCCGCGACGAGGGCTCTCTGTCTGCGACCGCACTGGTCTCGGCATCCCGGGGCTCGTTATCTGACATCTCTCGCCCCAACACGTCCACCACGTCATGCCACAACGTTGATCCCAATAGACTTGGCCTGGTAGATGATGGACCGGCACAGGCCCTCGAGGGACAGCCCCGACAGCCGCAGTTCTGACTGCTTGATCTTGGCAATCTCGTACACGTGCTTGAGGCTGATGGTGCCGACCGTCTCGTGGCCGGGTTTGCTGGCGCCCTTCCTGTTGCCCTTCTTGTTCTTGGGCGCGTCAACTGCGTTGAGGAGCAGCCAGGAAGTCTGCGGCGTGCGGAGGTCGAAGATGAAGGACCGGTCGGGTCGGACGGTCACGCGACATGGCATCGGCGTCCCGGGCGTGATGTGTGCTGTTCTGGCATTGAACTCCTGTACGCAATCCAGTCAGCACCGAGTAATTCCAATATCGTTGCAGGCCGTGCTCCTGGCCGGCTCGGAGGAATCGCACCTTGCAAAAGTCCATCGACTTGACACCCTTGCTGCCCAGCGCGGGACCGACCGGCGGGCTCGGGCTCGCTTGGCCGGCGCCCACGATGAGCTTGACGATCTGGTCGACGCCGCCGGCGCCCCTTGCCTTGGACATTATGGCGCGATTGGTGTCGGGGCAGGGCGGTAGGCCGTAGGGTTGGAGGTGCTGTCGCGATGTCGTCCGGCTGGTGGTGAGGCGAGGCCGCGAGAAAGATTTAGGAGCTCGTCCCTGACTGGGCGCTGGAGCGACCCACTTCCGGCAGACTGCCCCGCCACGGAGTCGGCCCCACAATATTTTCCAGAGCCAGCCCATGGCATCCTAAATTTTTTGGAAGCTGGAGGCACCGTGATCGTTCAAACACGACATCCCTACTGCGACACATCTACAGTAGCGGTCGAGCGAACTCTCTCCCACGCGGCTGGCGATTCCGATTATTGTACACGTCATCCCCGTCGATTAACGTGCCAACGGGCGAATACCACGATGCCGTCGACGCACAAGAAGGAAAAGCCGTGGGATACGGACGACATCGACAAATGGAAGATTGAGCAGTTCACGGCCAAGGACAACCTGGGCGGCACGTTTGCCGAGGAGTCGTCCTTCGCGACGCTCTTCCCCAAGTACCGCGAGGTGTACCTCAAGGAGGCGTGGCCGCTCGTGACCAAGGCGCTGGAGAAGCATGGCATCGCGTGCACGCTCGATCTCGTCGAGGGCTCCATGACGGTCAAGACGACGCGCAAGACGTTCGACCCGGCCGCCATCCTCAACGCCCGCGACCTCATCAAGCTGCTCGCGCGCAGCGTGCCCGCGCCGCAGGCCGTCAAGATCCTCGACGACGGCGTGGCGTGCGACGTCATCAAGATCCGCAACCTGGTCGGCAGCAAGGACCGGTTCGTCAAGCGGCGGCAGCGCATCCTCGGCCCCAACGGCTCGACGCTCAAGGCGCTCGAGCTCCTGACGCAGACGTACATCCTGGTGCACGGCAACACGGTGTCGGCCATGGGGCCCTACAAGGGCCTCAAGGAGGTGCGCCGCGTCGTCGAGGACTGCATGAACAACGTCCACCCCATCTACCACATCAAGGAGCTCATGATCAAGCGCGAGCTCGCCAAGGACCCAGAGCTGGCCAACGAGAGCTGGGACCGCTTCCTGCCCAACTTCCGGCGCAAGACGCTCAGCAAGCGTCGCGTGCCGCACAAGGTCACCGACAAGGCCAAGAAGGTGTACACGCCGTTCCCGCCGGCGCCCGAGAAGAGCAAGGTCGACAAGCAGATCGAGAGCGGCGAGTACTTCCTCGGCAAGGAGGCCAAGGAGCGGGCGGCGCAGAACGAGCGCAAGGAGAAGCAGAAGGAGAGGAAGGAGGAGAAGCAGCGCGAGCGCGAGGCCGAGTTTGTGCCGCCCGAGGAGGGCGGTCGGCCGAAGAAGAAGCGGAAGAAGACGGCCGAGTAGGAGGACGAATAAGAAGGATGGCATGGTCTCTGGCATGCAGCCTCTGGCCGCTTTTTGTTTGCATGTATGGCGTTTGATTTCTGGAGTCGCGCGTCTCGGTCAGGACGGTCTGGGCATGGCATAGTCACTTCCTTTAAGCAGACCAAATTCAATGCATGCATTGGCTTGTGTATTTGTTTCCTGTTACGTCGTCTACAGCTTTGATGAAGACACATCCCCAGTGTCAATCTCAATCACGAGCTTGCCAAACTGCCGCCCGGCCTCCATGTCTGCAAACAGGCTGTCGATACCGTCCAGGTTGTCCAGCCCCTTGACTGTCCTGCTGATGACAGGCGTGATCTTCTTTTCCGTCACAAACTTGACCATCTCGCCAAACTCCTTCCTCGAGCCCATGGTGCTGCCCTTGAGCTCCACGTTGGCCAGCACGGCCTGCATCGACCAGTCCATCTTGGGCGCCACCGTCATGCCGTACTGCGAGATGATGCCGCCCTGGCGGAGCAGCCGGACCGTCTTGGCGACGACCTTGCCGCCGGCGCCGTCGATGACGGCATCGAGATACGGCCTATCCTGGGGCAGCAATCCCGCGAGCTCCTTCTCCCAGTTCTCGTCCTTGTAGATAACACCGCCACGCGCGCCCAGCGCCTTCGCGCGGTCGATCTTGGCGCGGTCGCCAGACGTGACGTAGACGTTGCAGCCGAGCGCGACGCCAAACTGGAGAACCTGCAGCGCGACGCCGCCGCCGATGCCCGTGACGAGGATGTTCTTGCCGCGCGTGGCGGGGTCGCCCGGCGCGCAACCTGCCTTGGTGACGAGGGCGCGCCAGCCCGTCAGGCCAACGAGCGGCAGGGCGGCGGCCTCGGCGGGGGAGAGGTGCGGGGGCGCGGGCTCGACCTCGGCGGCGGGGACGACGATGTAGTCCTGCGCGGTGCCGACGTCGGTGAGGCGGCTGCTGCCGGTGACGCTGAAGACGGAGCCGGGCTCGGGGCCGGCGGGGTCGGCGGCCCAGCCGCGCATGGGCGTGAGGACGACGGGCTTGTTGAGGAGTGAAGCGGGGCCGCTGTCGACGACGCCGGGGCCGAGCTGCTCGACGACGCCGCACCCGTCGGCGAGCATGGCGGCCGTGAAGGAGATGGCCGGGTACTGGTGGTGCCGGATGAAGAGGTCGCGGTGGTTGAGGGCGGCGGCGGTGAGGCGGACGAGGACCTCGCCGGGGCCGGGCTGCGGCTTGGGGACGTCCTTGAGCTGCAGCCTGTTGTTTTGAGACGCGTGATATTAGCAAGATGCTCTGACTCTATGATAAGTCCAATGGGCAGCATGAGAGACAGCCGTTCACTCACGGGTAGTACACCTCGCCGGGCTTGCCGTCAATCTTTTTGATGTGGAGGAGCCGAGGCATCGTCGCGGCGGTTCTGGGCTATGTCGCTACCGATCCCAACTGTGAGTCTGAAGTCAAACGAAACGACAACGATATGAAGAGAGAAAATGATTACACCCGGCAGAGGGTCGCGGTTGAATGCTATAGTCTCACCTCGGATCGACAACGGGATGACGTTCCCGCCGCCAGCCAGCGACATGGAGCGAGCACCGGCACAGCGGGGCAAGCCGCCCCCGACGGAGACCTACAGTGGGCGGACAGCAGCGGCCACGGCCCCGCCTACAAGGGGGCGCCCAGACAATCAGCCCGATTACCAACCGCGCCCGCGCCCCAGGATTCAGGAACCTCGGCTGCGGCCGCTCGTCGCACGCTCCGGCTGTGAGTTCTTAGCGGGGAGGGGGTGAGCGGCCGGACGACCGGGGCGGCGCAGCAGCACGCGACCGTTGACTATGTCCGTGTTCACGACGTGCCGTGTGTGTGTTGGTCCAGCCAGGGCAAAAAGGGTACGAGAAGCGGGAGCGAATGGCGCAGATGCAGGAAGATTGCATCCATGGACCGATCCGACCGAGCCGCCGATGCGCATGGCAGGCACCCGCGAACCAAATGCGCATGGCTTGTTCAGTGTCTGTCTCGTCCACCGCCCCCCTTCGCTCGGCGATCCGTCAGCATGCCCGCAGGCCCGGCGCCCCGGCATTTGCATGCAAGTCCCGGCAGCGCGGTCCAATGGCGACCCTGCGCAGCACGTGGCCTCGTCGCACAAGGAGCAAAGACGTGTTTTGGCTGTAATTATCCATCGCCTTGCTGAGATCTGCTAATGCTCTCTCTGTCCTTCGGCGCCGTCGTCGTTGTCGTCGTCGCGGCCTGTCGTTGCAATAAAAAATGCGAGGCATGCCAGAGATCCCGCCGGGGACCATGTGCAACAGCACGGTGATTGGGGATCCGGGGTCCCGGGCCCTGGGCGGGCAGTGGGCGCGTGCGTGCGTGCGTGCGTGCCCAGCAAAGGAAAGAAAGGACGAGTCGGCGACCATGTGCGCTGAGATTGCATCGTCGTGCGACGTCACAGCGAAACGGCCCTGCGCTGGCGGGGACTACACTCCATGCGGAGTACGAATTGCCTTGCCTGGCAGCGGGCATATTCCCGCGACGTAGGTACGGAGCATGGTACAGAACCTGGCAACCTGCCCGACGTGACCCAGCGCTCCCTGGCACGGCCAATGCCTTCCAGCTGTCACCTCAGTGACCTCACCGTCTCCGTCACCGACTCAGGCGCCGTGCATCCGCCCACCACCGCTGCTGCCCCAGTGCCCGGGCAGGCAGTGGAGGCTGGCACGCACGCCATGGTCCCCGAGCATTGCAAAATGTTCCGCCCGCCACGGCACTAACAACACGTGCGACCCCCCAAGCCTCTGACGATCCCCCCTCCCCCCCCAAGAACCTTGAACTTGGTCGGCGACTCCCCCCTCCACCCCGTCCCAACAGGCTCCGCTGCCTCCCTTCCCGCGGCGCGCACCCTGGCGCAGACTCGGCGACCACGCCATGGCGCATCGCCGGAGCAGTGGCCATTGGCAGGTCTCTGCGTGGGCTGCCATCTTTGCCTTTGGCGCTCTCTGCTCTGCGTGGGCACATCATGGCCCGCCGGCCGGCCTCCATCCATTCCCGATCGCCTGGGCGCGGGCGCAGCGCATGGGTTTCTCGGGAACTACTGCACTAACGTTAGCTGGTGCATGCTAGCAACAGTAGGCCCGCCCGACGCCGCGATCCGTCCTCCAGGGGAGGGGGGCCCACGAAGCCACAAAGGTCGTTAAGGTATGTTGTCCACGACCGTATATGTAGGGACGAGCGCGCGGCGGTATATATTTAAGTTGAGCCCTGGCTAAGAATCCCGCTACTGACTACGATCCGTTCCTTTTCAGCCTCACGTCCTGCCGCTTGTCGGTGGAAAGCCTCGCAACGGTTTTATAACCCTTTTGGTGCCCCCGGTTCTGGGTCCTCCGGAATTCGGACAGTCTGGTACTAGCCAGACGAGAAGAGAGGAAATAAAACGATCATCGAGCACCGTCCGAGCGATCCCGCCAACAGCCATGGCGACGACGACGCTCGTCTCCGGCGTGGCCTTTGGCGCGGCCATGGTCGCCGCCGGCTTCGCCAACCCGGCCGTCGTCGTCTCGCAGATGAAGTTTGAGTCCTGGCACATGTTCCAAGCGTTCCTCGCCGCCACCGCCAGCAGCGCGTACGTTTCTCTCTCATTCGCTTAGTTCCCTTTTGCATGGTCCCGCGTACTGACTGAGTCGCCGAACAGCGTCATATACTCCATCGCCGAGAAGCTCGGCTACGTCAAGATCCAGCCGCGCAGCTCCTCCCCGCTCGGCCTCTTCTCCCGCTACGACGGCAACGTCCTCGGCGGCGCCCTGCTCGGCGCCGGCATGGCCCTGTCCGGCTCCTGCCCCGGCACGCTCTACGCCCAGCTCGCCACCGGCGTCCGCACTGGGTTCTTCGCTCTCGCCGGCGCCCTGGCCGGCGGCGTGCTGTGGACGGGTTACCTCGCGCCCCTCGTCAAGCGCCGCCGCGAGGACGGCGCCATCAAGCCCGAGTCCGGCGTCATCAGCGAGACGCTCGGGCTCTCCCGCGCCGCCACCCTCGTGCTCTTCGAGGCGGCCTGCGTCGCCGTCGTCGTCGCCACCGCCGGGGGCGTAAAGTCCACCACCGGCGGCCCTCTCATCCCCGCGGGCGCCGTCGGCGGGCTGCTCATCGGCCTCGCGCAGCTCGTCTCCCTGGTCACGCGCCGCACCATGGTCGGCATCTCGGGCTCCTTCGAGGACGCCGGCAACCACTTCTGGTGGCTGGTCCGGGACGGCGCCGCCGCGGAGAAGCGCCCGCGCACGTACCAGAACATGCTCTTCGCGGCGGGCGCCGGCGTCGGCGCCTGGGTCATCGCCAGGGCGCTGCCGGACTCGGTCGTCTTCGGTGCCGTGGCGGGGCCCCTGCTCGAGGTGCCGCCGCTGCGGGCCGTGTTGGGAGGCGTACTCATGGGCGTCGGGTCGCGGCTGGCGGGCGGATGCACCTCCGGCCATGGCATCAGCGGCATGTCGCTGCTGTCGGCCTCGAGCGTCGTCACCATTGCGAGCACATTCGGCGCAGGCGCATTGGTAGCGCCCTTGATTTACTAAGTAGGCAGCGATTTTGGCTACCTTTGATACCTCATGAATAATTACATGCCCCAAACCACTTCTTGTCACGTCCGCGTCGTGACTGCAATGTGAATGCGCTGTAAATGCAACATCCCCTACTGTTTCTTTGCGCCGCAGCCCTTCTTGGCCGTCACCTCAATCTCAATTTTCATCTCCTCCTTCATGAGCCCGCTCTCGACCATGGTCGCCGCCGGACACACCTCGCCGAACCACTTCTTCAGCACCGGCCACGTCTTGGGGAATTCGCGGCGGTCCGGGAGGATATAGCGCACGCGCACCACGTCTGCCATGGAGGCGCCCGCCTCGCGCAGGGCGGCGTCGACGTTGACGAGGATCTGCTGCGCCTGCTCGGCCACGTCGTCTGAGATCTCGCCCGTCTGGTAGTTGTACCTGTTGGGGTGTTGCGCGCGTGAGTACACACGTTCGCACGCACAGCACGCATGTTGGCGCAAGGGGGCTGCTGGCACTACTCACCCAGTGGTTCCCGACACGACGATCCAGTCGTCGACGACCACGGCGCGCGAGTACCCAATCTCGGCCTCGAATGCAGAGCCGGAGCTGATGTTGTTGCGGGCCATGGTGGTTTGGCGGAGTTGAAGCTGAGATGCAGGATTGGAGGTTGTAGGGTAGTGGCTTGATGCCCCGACTGGGCCTACGGAATGATTGCTGGTGGCGGCTCAGACAATGGCTTTATGCATTTCGCTGCCTCTGGGATTGTTGCGGATATCCACGGCGCATCGCGACAAGCCGAGTCTTGGTGAGTCACTTCGCCGTTGCAGTTGACTTCGCTTTTCTCGTACAGTGTAATGGTCGGGGCCGGGCCGGCTGCGATGACGGCCGGCAAAGGTTGCGGGGCTCCGGTGCCGGGCACGTGGGGAATGCACCCCCTGTCCTCGGCCGGCTCTGCCCACCAAGCAGCGATTGCGATTGTGCACGCGGGTGGTGATGTATTTGGCTGCGCCGAGATATCAAATCGTCCACTACTCGTACAAACGTACAGCATCGTACAGGGTTTATAGTAATTGTACACCGCGCCGGGCCTCCGGCTACTGGCTGGTCAGCTCCTTGACCAGGCTAGCCACCTGCTTCCTATCCACGTCCTTCCCCTCGAGCGCACCCGCCAGGCGCTTCATGACATCCCCCATGAGCGACTTGGCCGCCGTGCCCGCAGCCCTGGACGCCTTGACGGCATCCTGCACCAGGGCCTTGAGCTCCGCCTCGCCCAGCGACTGCACGCCGCTGTCGGCGAGGTACCCGTCGAGGATGCGCGCCTGCTCGTTCTCCTTGTCGACGAGGTCCTGGCGGCCCGCGGCCTGCGCCTCGGCGGCGGCGTCGAGCGCGCTCTTCTGGATCTTGCGTATCAGGGCGACGAGCTGCACGTCCGTCTTGATGGGCGTCGCCGTCTTGGAGGCGTTGAGGTTGGCCGACATGATGGCGCGCAGGACGGACAGCCGCGGGGCGTCCTTGGCGCGCATCGCCGTCTTGAGGTCGGCCTTGAGCTTTGACAAGAAGGGCGGCGGCGCGTCGTCGGTCGTCGAGTAGAGTCGGGAGGACCGGGCTTGGGGGGCTCGTCGGAGTGCGGGCGCGTGTCGGGGCAGGCGGGCTGCAGGCTGCGACCAGCGCAGGGCGGCCAGGAGGCCGGTCGGGGGCTTCGCGGCCATTCGGAGATGCGATTGGGGTGGGAGAGAGACTGGGAGATGGTTGCGAGCGATTTGTCGGCGCAGGAGTTGTTGAATTGGCGGCTTCAACAGAGAGGAGGGCGAGGTGCAAAAGGTGGTCGAGGGTGAGGCCAGCAAGAGCTGCTAAAATCGAAGCTCTTGGTGTCGCTGGGCCGGGAGCTCCCAATTGGTCCGGGGCGACCTCTGTGGTGGCCGGCGCTCAGTGCAACTGCCCCTGGTGGAGAACTGCCTGATGCTGGGAGCTGTAAATCCGCCAACACCAAAACCCCAACTTGGACGGCTCATGATATACTCCAATGAAGGCGAAATGATCAAGCATAGGGTGCCTCCCTCTCCGTATACCTACCGTATACCTAGAAATGAATTTGATCAAGAAGATATCCCGTTTGCTCGAGTAACTTGCACTTGGATGCCACGGCCATTTCGGGATCGACGCCCACGCCGCGACGGCCGATAATTTCGCGAATACATATATCCGGCTTCTTCTTACATCGAAAGGTCAAGCAAGAGACACGGGTGGTGTGCTGTAGGCAATAAACTACCATCCCATGTTAAAAGGCGACAGCGTGCTCCATGCTTGGGCTGAGGTGACAGGGCCGAAGAAGTCGAGCTGATGCTATGCGGCATCGTCGGCTAATACGGCGGACAGTTGGAGGGAGGACGATTCCTGTTTCCAGAAGCGAGCGCTGCCTTCACCTCTCAGGCAGCTCCCGAAGCCAATAATGAAGTCTCCCTTCGTCCCCCCTTTTGGCATGACCAACAAGGATGGGCTGCCTTGCTCACCACGCTAGTGAATGATATGGAATTCAGGCCCACGAGATCCCAGCTCTGCTCGGTCTGCACAAACGGTGAAGTCTTGGGCCAGGAAAGAAAATCGCCAGAGTGGCTTTCGTGGGCGAAATTTGCTGAGTCGGGGCTTTTGGTTTATAAAACAGGCACGGGCGGAAGTGGTCAAGCTGTCGACGACCCCTGAGCCTGAGCCGCTGGGCCGGCGCCCACAAGAACAGCGGAGTGTCTCACGAGACAGAGCTGCAAGGCAGTGCGAGCCAATGCAGGCACCGCTAACTTGGCAGCGACAGTAGCGCCGATAGGCCGTGTGGCGCCTCGTGCCGAGAAGCAGGCAAGGCGCCAGATCTCCAGTGGCGTCGCCCATCCCTGGCTTGACACGCCCGCAGGTATGAAGACGGTGCGCTTGGAGACGTGTCGGGTTTGGCGGATTCTCCGCCTCCTATCACGTTGCGGTGCCGGGATTGTTCCCATAACCCGTCCCAGAGTGTCGGTATCGAGATGGCGCCATTGGCAGAATGGTGGTACAGCACGTCAGGTACCTTGGCTTCTGCGTGCAGGAGGCGCTCGCTTCGGAGCTCGGGCATTGTGCAGACGGCTCCCATGGTCAAAAGGTGGCACGTCGATTCAGCCAGCTCTTATTCGTGACGCCCAAGATAGGCCAAGGTGTGAGGACAAGATATGTAGGTAAGGCAAGTTAACTGATGGCCCTGAGCGTGCCACGCCCACCCGAGGCGCGCCGACGAGCTGTGCCGTTGCTCGCCTAGGCTGCGACCTCTACGGTACCAACCGACGGGAAGGGACGGTGACTGACTCGGAGTTGGTGGTGTCTCATTTCTCAACCACGCGCTTGCCTCAGCGCCCTTCGTGCCTTCCTCAACTTGGCCGGCTCCGTGCAGCGACCTTTTCCACCCTCAACCCCTTCTCGCTCTCCTCGTGCACTTCCAACATGAGGCCCGTAGCTGCCCGAGACGAGCCACGCCATCGCAGCACTCGCATGAAGCGATCTGCCCCCGGAGGCTCACACGACTCCACGAGTACCATCATCTCATCCGCACCGTGTCCCCACCACTCCGCATCCCAACATTGACACGGCCTTGGCCGGCTCTTTGCCGCTGCTCGACGACACCCATCATTGCGTCTTCAAGGCGGCACCCTCCCACGACACCGACGGCTCCCGAAGCAGGCCTGCACCGCCTTGAAACCGAGTGCCTCCGGCTCCTCTCGCGGGTGCTGGCTGAGGCCATTGTGCCCCCTATCGCGCAGGCTTGCGGCCGATGCAAACGTATCTGCCGCCGCGACGTTTCAGCAACAGAACATGCCCGTCCTTCTCCGAGAGCTTGCGACTTACAACGGAAAATAGGCCTGGGTGCAGGACATGAGTTAGCCAAGTCCGACACAGAGCCGAGTGAGGCGGCAACAATGTTCCCCTCCCGGAATATTCGCCACGCCTTGACGCTGTCCGCACCTTGAACGAGGCATTGCTTGCCTCGGCGCTTGCCTGATCGACCATGGTCCCAAAGTCTTGGGCAGACATCCTGCCACAGCGTCAGCATCGGCAGGATCCCGTCAGCGTGCCTGGACGTCGAACTCATACCCCTTCCACTGGGTTACGGGGTACACGGCCATCGAATATAGTAGCTGGGCTATATTCTCCAGGTTGGCCATCCCGATAGCGCTGTCCCGGGGCACTGCCGTCTCACAGTCAGCCGCCGCATTTCCCGGACGACGCACCATTCTATCCTGTACCGTTGGACCAGCCACACATGGGCAGGGTCAGCAGCCGGGATTCGACCTCTGTGAAGCCCGCATTTCGCATCCAGCCTGGCAGCTGGAGTGCTGCTCTGGGATCTTTCCGAGGGTGCATAGATTCCAGGTACAAGCTCGACCACCGGGAAAGGGCGTTGTCTGTGCCAAATAGTCTGTCAGCGGCGCGGCTCCGACTCCAATGGAACCTTTACTGGCCTCGTTCCAGCGTGCCGTTGTCTGACTGCGCGTTGAAGTATATCTCCACCATTTGGCACCAACCGCCTGGCTTGAGGACTCGAAATATGTCTTGCACATAGCTTCGCCACCGATTCGCATGTATGCCGCTGGCCATCAGGCGGCTATGAACGACGTCGAAGTGGTCGGTCGGAAACGTGAATCTAGGCCCGCGCGTCAGCAGAGCCTCGCGATGAGATGGCCGTTCAGCTCACCTGCCATTGAGGTCGTCGATCTGGATCTCGAGATTGTTCGGCAGGTCTTCCGGTATCATGTGCGGGCTAATGTCGATACCAAGCACCTAGGAGACCTTAGCCTCGGGCCAATGGACGCGATCTTGACATCCGGCTCCCGCCTTGGTCGCCAAACGCGTCTTCTTCCCAACGCAGCTGCCCTGGATGTTGGCTAGTGTCGCGCCGTTCCCCGTTTCCAACGGGACACGCATAGTCATGCCACTGGTAGCAAGACGCGAAGCCCGGCAGTGGCAACCAGGGAGAGAGCAGCACGACAGGACTCAAGTCAAAGCAAGCGTACCTCGGAGTCCGGGAAGTGCTCCGCCACGTCCACGGCCCAGTCACAGGCTCCGCAGCCGCAGTCGAGAATTCGTTCTGGCGCATGTACGGGGGGGAAGATGAGTCGATCGTCGAAGACCTTGGAGAGCACCGAGTGCATAAGCTCCAATCGCGCGATTTCCTCCTGCTCTGGCCAGTCAGCACCCATCATGGGGGCGAAACCCCTCGGCCGTTCGTGCGTCCATCGGTTGGGACTACCTCGTCTATCGGCGCGAAGTATATGCCGTTGGTCACGGCATATCTTTGGAATGTCCGTCCGGACAAGTCGATCGTCTCCGCGAAGGATTCGTCGAGGGGGGCTGTTCCGTCTCTTCAGGGGTTGTTAGTTTGGTGCACCGTGTCCTCGGGGGGAAGATGCTTCTGACTCGGCGGCCATGTTCTTCCCGAGAGACGGGGTTCAGGATACTCGCTACCTCGCCAGTTGCACGCGGATGTGGGAGCCTGCTCTTGAGCCACGGAATGGTGTGGCGAAGACCCTATCAAGGCCGACTCTGCATTGCATTTGGCCCAAGGCGTCATGTGGTACCCGGAGCGCGGGCCCAGTCCACCCAAAACAAAGGCCCCCCTCTTGATTCCAGGATGGCCCGACACTGCCGTGTTTACGCTGGACCGGCTTTTGTCTAGCTGCCCGGCTCTCGCAAAGCTTCAAGAGAATCGGGTCTCAGCCAAGCCCGAGACTGAATGCTTGCGAGCAGGTCATACATCATACCTACCAGTGTAGAGGATACAGGAGGGACTCCGGGCTGTCTTGGCTCGCATATCACCCCCTAAATTGCTCTGTTGCTGGACCGTTGGACTGCGGGAGTACCGTGAGCCACTGATATGCGGCGGCTACGGCTGTGGAGCGGCCACGTAGGGCGGCTTCCGAGAAGGCGACAATGCAAATGCACCGCGGCCCCCAGGGTGTTGCGGTCGCATGGATTTATTGAAAGGCGAAAGGCATCCGACGTGACGCTGGGGCATCTGTCAAACCTGACAGAAAGTAGCAGTCTCTGCTGGAGATCAGCATGCGGCGCTCGCTGCCCAAGGCACTTCGTAGGGGACGGAGTATCGACGACTGCCGCCTGAGCGCATGAAGCAAGGACTGGGGGGCGGCTGCAAACGACAGTTGGAACGACCCGGACGGATGGGCCGCAACCTTCAGGGAACGCCTACAGGTGCTGCCGAATGTCGACACGGCCCCAATACGCCGGAGACATGCACGTCAGAACACCCGGCAGCAAGGAGGCCAGTCATGGTGGGGTCGTTGACCCAGCTCGCAGCAAATGTGCAGCCCGAGCCGCCTTGTACAGTCTCTGAGCCGTCAGCAGCTGAGTCGTCGTGCGCCGGCGTGCATTCATGGGGCTGCTGCCTGACTCTGAGCAGGCTTCGCGCCTCGACCTGAGAGGCGGGACAGGTGGCATGCCTTGCATGGTTACGACACGAGTGACAGTCCCTGGCGTCGAGGGAACGACGCGAACGAGCAACGCAGGGTCCGTGTTGAAGAAAAGCTGCAGACTGCCGCACGTGCGCACCTGCAATGGCCATGGAGGAAGCATGGTAATTTCACGATCCAACAATGCTACATGGCCGCCCCTGGAGCAGGAACATACCCCTCCTCTCCGCACGTCTGCCAGCTCAAGCAGCGTCGGAAACAGCGTCTTATGACGACAGTACCCTCCCGCGCCGGGTACTCAGTACTTCGGAATGGCACGTTGGATCGTGGGCCATGGGCTAGGACTGGCTGGTGGACCAAGGCCAAAGATCGTCTCCGCCCCTTCAAGGCACGAGCTTGGCGCGTCAACATTGAGCGCAAGAACGAGCCGACGCTGTACGGGGTCCTACTCTCACCGCCTTCTCTTGCGTTTGGTGGCTCGTTACAGCTGGGTCCGAAAGGGTCAATACGCGCAGAACCCCTGGGTGGCTATGGCGTTTGCGGCAACCGTTCCACTGGCGCACAGGAGCCGCCTAGGAACATACCACAGAAACCTGATGCTTCGTCAACGGCACCGCGGCCGACGACCCTTTGCATGGAACGCTGGGGGCTGCTGCCTCGCTGCAATGGCCCGATCATGAGCAAGGCGCCCGCATTCTGTGCGCGAAGCCAGAAGAGGTTACGGAGCTATTGGCTTCGAATGCTCTGCCAGCGGCGGGTCATGACAGGGTACCTGGGCAACACAGTGGTGTCGAGTGGATAACATATCAAGCAAGACCCACGGCCGGGCGTTGGACACCCAGAAGTCGTTTTGGCAAATGACGAAGCCGCAGGCATAGCCGCACAAGTACAATCAGGGCTTTGCCGAAGGGTTGTCACACGTGAGTGCAGCTCGTCAGCGACAGCTGGATTATCCTTGCCAATCGCCGGCATGGATGCTGCGAGGGTTGCCAGAGGCCTGCTACAAGCTCGGAGGACTCACTACATCTACAGATTCTCGCCTACCGATTCTCGCCTACCGACGCGTCTCCTAGCTTACTTGGTGTTTCTGGAGAGCGCAGCCTGGCCGCCCGGGCGATACGCTGTTGGCCAGAAAGCTCGTGATCCGGCCTGGCCATTCAGTGACTACATTCGGGTGGCCGTTCTTGAGGACTGCCATTCCGGTACGCTGGGGGCAACATGTGGCGGAGAGCAAGGGGCGCCTCTGACCACAGACGCAGACGGGCCGTGCCTCGACTGACCCTTGACAGATCCCTGACGGACCCATGGGTCTGTGGGCACGGATGGCGGTGCGTCTTGTGCATTTACGTGTACAGAAGTCAGCATCGAGGGCATGATCCATGCCACGGTGGTAGTACTGTATTGCTACGGCGGCAAGGCAACATGGAGTGGCCGCCGGACCCGCGAGGGTTGCTGCAACTCCGCGTTCGTGAGGCGGGCACCGGTGTGAGTTGTGGTCCGCATTGAACCGTCCGATTCCTCACACGTTTCTCCGCTGCATGTCTTGGAGCGGTGGGCGCCGCCTTGCAAGGGTCAACCTGGTCGGGCCCCTGTTTTTGCCGAACCAAACCCTCGGGTTACCCGCGTGGCGCACGGCGGGGGACCAGCTCCTCGGGAATCGTCTCACACGTCGTGGACTGGTGACGGCCCGCGTTAGGCTCCCATGCGAAGTGTCAGGCCGTTCCGTCGTGCCATTGTCCTCATGTCTGATCTCGATCGGCCCTTTCGGCAAAGACGGAAGTCTCCCGGCGCCCGCAATGGCGTGAAGTCGTTGAATCTCCTCGAGCCGCCCCGAGTTTATGCAATCTCAGCCTGGAACAAGCGCGCCATTGTGGGCAAAAACTTTATCCCTTCCGTCTATTTCCCACCTTTTCACCGCTTTCTACAGAATATTCCCAGATAGTATAATGTACATGCATGCCGGTAAAAGTGACCCCTGCCAACCCTTGGTTTTCCCGTACTTTTCCGCGCGGAGGGGCAAGCTCTCGACCCGCTCGATCCCTGGACATGTTTGCTCGTATTCATCGAGATGGAATGGAGGCGGCGGGGGGAGGGAGGAAACAAAAAAGAAAAGAGAAGGCACAGGGCACACCACGGGGGCCACAGCCAGCTGCCGACGCAAGCGCGCACGGGGCGGCGGTCGCCGATATAAAAAGAAACAAACTGTCTGCATCCCGCCCTCGGGACGCCATGTGGCCGTATGCAAAAGGGCCGTCCCGATGCAAATGTACTGTACTGTACTCCGTACCAATGACAAATGATTGATGGAGACGTGAGGGGGAGGAGATGGGCGAGACAGGCGGCGTGACGAGAGTGACGCGTCACATTCTGGTGTCTTTCCCCTTGGCGAGACCCGGCTCGGCACCTCCCCAAGTTTTGTGTCACCGCGCTGACGAATGAGGACGTGCCCAAGTGCGCCGCGTTGGTCGCGCGGCAGACATGACGCCTGCCGAGGCAGAAGTGGTAGATGCACTCCCGTAGACACCGAGTTGTGGACACAAAGGAGCATGGGTCAAGGCCTTCTAAAGATAGCGTCTGGGTGCGTGCTTCCTTACTGTATCAGCACCAGGTGAAGACGGGGTTCCGGCTCTTGACGGCCTCGAGGCGCTCCACAATGACCTTGCGCTGGTTGCCCATCTGGCCCTCCGCGGCGGCGTACCCGAGATCGCCCTCGAGATCGTCGCCGTCGTACCCCTCGTGCGAGTCGCCACGGTGGAGGTGGAGGTGCTGCGCGATGGAGTTGCTGCTGCGACGCGCCGCGGCCGTGGCGAACGAGTACCGCCTCTGCTGGCGGAGGCCGCTGCGCGCCGGCTCGTAGACGTTGAGGGCCCGCGACGGACCCTGGTAGCTCTGCGTGCTCCTAGGCTGCGGGGCGAGCTGGTCCGTCAACGAGGCGCTCGCGGCGTGGCCATTGGGGCCTAGGTCCATCGGATTCACGGTGCTTTCCGTGGGCGACTGCGCGTCCTCGCCCGTAGGGCTGGTCATCTCGAAGCGCCCGGAGCGAGGCATGTCCACGGGAGCGCTGGCGAGGCCCAAGAGGTCGTCGACGGGGACGTGGCTATTGGGAACGGAGCTGGCAATGTCGGCCTCGTCCATGGACTGGCGCATGTCCGTGGTCCGCCGCAGCTCCGACGACGTCACCCGCATGGGCACCGCCACGGGCACGTCGACCAGGTCGTCCCAGACGCAGACTCTCGCCCGGCGCGTGAGCTCCAGCGGACCATGGTCCGGCGTCTTGAGCGCCTCGACGACGTTCCACGCCTGGCCCTTCATGACGGCAATCTGCTTGGCAAACATGCGCTCTTGAAAGTCCTCGTCCATCTGGAAGACTCTCTTTAGGGCTAGTTGCGTCTGGCTCCACCAAGCGGTCGAAGTCAGCAGCGGTAGGAAGTGGTCTCGCGTCTTTTGCGAGAATGGGCGCCCGATAAGATCGACTGGGAGGAAGAGCCAGCCAAAGGGGAAACTGGAAAATCGTCAGCACGCGAGACTGGTGAGTACTAGGAGCAAAGGTAAATTACCTGCGCCACGCATCAGGGTGTTTCCAAGGCCACGACAGCGAGTTGTCAATGGCTCCGATGGATATCTGAGCGCCGTTGCCAGCCGGCTTGTTGTTCGATGCATCCATTGGCTTCTGCCTCTTGTAGGGGTACGATGCTGTTGTCGCAGAGGGTGGCATTTGAGACGCGTCGACGGGCCGGGGTCCATTTCCTTCAGATGGAGGGTCCATGTTGAGATGAACGGGTTCAGACGCAAGCGATACCTGCCCAGACTCCCAGTCGACCTTGACCATCCAGTTGTCGAGCCCTCGATCCGTGTTACGCATGATGTAGTCTAGGATGACCAGCTTCTCGAGCTCTTCCCGAAACGACTGTTTCAGCGGCTCCGTCCAAGTGAAGCGTGGCGGCCCCGCAGGCTCCTCTCGTGAGCTCGGTTGTTCGTCGTCGCTGGAGTCGGCATCGTCGGGCGACCCGGATGTGGACGGCCGGCAGCTTTCCGTCCACCTCTTCTTTCTATGCCGGTGCGTATCGTTGGTTCGGAAACCAGACCAGTACTGATCCGGCCAGGGGTGCTCTCGCAGGAAGACATTGGCGTCCTTGAAGCCTTTGAGGAACACCTGGAAGCTTCCAGGCTTCGGAGGCAGCGGCTTCTTCTTCCGGTAGAAGCTCCGGCGGTCCCAGAATGGGTAGTGGAAGGATTTGGACGATAGCCAGACGACGTCGGTATAGGGCACGAGGTTGGTTCGGAGCTGTGCATCGAGCACGTAGGCGGCGGCTTCGCTGACATATGACAGGTTGGGGATGAGGCTACGAGATGACAAGTTAGCAGACGTCGAGGCGGCTACCAAAGGATATTGCGTACCAAGCTCGACCAAAACAGCAAGGAAACAGGTTCCTATGGATCCATTTATTCCACTTGGGATTTCCGGCTGCGTATGGCTCCTCGTCCTTGGGCTTGAATACACCAACAATCTTGCCATCGGCGTTTCGGGCAAAGTAGCTGCCTGAGCTACCCTGCGATATCATGCTGGGGTGGATTTCCTGACGGATAGCCGAGCGCACGCTCTCAACGACGGCGTCAAACTCGGCCTTGGTCATGACGCCGTCCGAAGTCTCAGCAAGTCCCTCTGGCGTGACGGGGCGGACCCCCTCGGGCGGCTGGAAGACGGAGTGGTGGATTTCGAGGCGGTCTTCTTCGCCTAGGTGGTGCTTGCCCTTGCCGCGCTTGAAGCGGGAGGCAATCTCGTCGGCCCAACGCTCCAGACGGGCGTTGATGGCCTTGATGTCGACGCCCGAGTTGCTGCCCACGCGCCGGCGAAACTTGGGCTTGGCCTTGGGGCTGGCGACGCCGGACCGGTGACGGGGCTGCGTGATGGGTGCATATCGCGGCGCGGACGCGGGTTGGAGGGAGGCGGAGGATTCGGCGAGGGGGTGGTCGTCGTCGGAGTCGTCGCTGAAGCGGTCGGCCTGAGCAAGGCGCTCGTAGCCCGTCGTCGCGGGCCGATCGCGAGGCATGGCCGCGGTTCGAATGGTTATGGTAGACGTGTAAAGGAGAGATCTAGTCAAGTTGACGTGTCCGCTCGGCCATCACACTGGCCGGCGTATAGATGTCGCCGAGATGCGGCTCGGGACGATTCGTTCGAGGGTGATTCGGTTCAAGTCGGTTGGGCGGGCAGCGAACGGCAGCTGGGAACCCCCGAAGGGCTGACGAGGCGTCGTCTCCTGTCGTGCTGCGTCAGGATCGAGGGGTGGCGAATAGGGAGGTTCCAAAGGTGGGCCAAGGCGGGCGGTTGCAGTGTATTCACCGAGGAAGCAAAGCAGTCATTTTGCCGTCCAGGGCCGTGACAATTGCACCACGAGCTTTGATGGCGCGACGATGATGTGGTGGTGACAGCTTGACGCGCGAGCCTTGCCCGGTTTCCGAATCTGGGTTAGGTAAGCGTTGGCGTGGCCCAACTGCTAACGATCGTCACTGACAGAGCCCAGCACCTGAAACTTGGATTCCAATATGTCACCGACCCAACATCACCAACAACGGCGGGGCGCCCATTTGCATCACGGCGCTCGCAGACCTATTCTAGACGTCTGGGAACCGTACTGCACGTCTGAAGTGCTATCCAGCCACCCGGGACATTCTACGAATGTACGTCGCCTTCTTATACGTCATGCCTCTGCGAGTGCCCACCAACCAGGCAAGCATCTACGTATGTAGGCTGTTCAGGTGTATCAGAATAACGGCAAAGACGAGTCTCGCTGTATACTGCAGCAGGTTCGATGAATATGCACCAAACGGCCCGAAACATGGCCTACCCTGTTGCCGGGTGCCGCCTCAGACGCGATCCGCCCTCGGGATTCTACAGCCGGACTCACAACTCATGAGCTGTGTTAATCATCTCGCATGAGTGAGACGCGCTTCAGTCGGTCTATGGCAGCTTGGCCACGGCACGGTGTTCAAACAGGGAAATTTGGCGTTTTTTTTCTGCTACGAAGCGTTCCTGAAGGCCAACGTATTCTGGCGAGCGTCGCCTTCCGACGCCTCCAATGGTCCAGGAGGGACGCATAGCCGAATCAGACGTGCTTCTTTGACACTCCCATGGACCGCCCCATGCGAACGCGGTCAGCCAGGTCGAGGCAGTAGAACATAGCAAGGTCCGAGGCACCCAACAGCCAAACTTGATCTTGCTCTTGCCATCCAAATCGAACCACAGCTTCGAACACGCCGTTGACGGACAAAGCCCAGGAGCATTCAGTTGACCAAGTCCCCTCCAGAGGGCATCCGTAAAGGGTCAAGCCCAGCGAGGGCACGCGTTGTCACCATGAGCCCCGGCGTGAACCTTAAACGAGCCTCACGCGGCTGTCGCAACGAAAAGGGTCCTCGCGGCTGTGGCGGGCTGGCTTATCGCATGTAGTCGGCCCGGCCGGAAGACCACATCTAGGGTCTCGGGGCCACAGCGCCTCCCGAACGACTGCAAGGGAACGGCGTCTGACAGCGGCCCCCCTCCAGTAAGTTTCGCCCGTCGTGACTTACAGAGTAAGACTAAGACTCTGTGCTCTGCCGTAATATCTTTAACGCAGCCATGGTTCGGTACTCGTTCACGCCAAGGGCCGTCTACCTAAGCCGAATATGTTCAAAAATCGAGACTGCTTCTAGGCCCTGCCGGATAGCGCCGCCGTCGTAGTCGATGTGACCTTCCCACAAGCATGCCGATGTTTCCGCCTCACATGCCGAGATCGAGGTCACTGCCCGCCAAGGGAAACACGTCTGCCTGACGCGGGACGACGTGCATGCGCCAATCCCGCCACCGTGTCTGCCTGCCAGGCGCCGGCGGGTGCGGACTCTACAACGTCAGCACCGTGCCGCAGCCTCGAAACGACACTGAGCTGATGGGTGATCCCGTCGGGGCTCTTCGCCTTCCTTGATGGTACGCCGTGTGAGCCGAGTTTGCAAGCTCGCTGATCTGGCAGCCCAAGTACACGGCTCGCCGAACCGTAGTCGGTCACCCCACGCATCTCGGAGTGGCTTACTGACGTGCTCGAGGGCGATGTTGAGATCACAAAGTCGACTCTCCTGCGTTCGCGACACTTTTCATCACGCGCGTCACTCGACACGCATGACAGCCGCCAAGCTCGGGTGTCGGATGCAATGGCATCTATCAGCGACAGCTTCGGCTCCGTCGGCTTCGCTAGGCAAGGCACACGGCCTCACGGGGACCACGATCGACAGCCTCGTCGAGTCCGGTCATCAAACATCACCCGTGTGGCGCCGGATTGCTCTTGTCCAAAGCCTGGGGAGCCGAGCTCAGAAAGCTCCGAATGCCGCTTACTGAGCAGAAAGGCTATCCGGGGACAAACCGACCGCCACGGCACTCGACAATGCTTTGAGCGCTTGGACATGATGCCCGAGGCGAGGCTCATTGAGGTCAGCTCGTGTGAGACGCAGCTGCAGTTTCTCCTGGCGCACGCCATCGCAGATAAGTGCGATCAAGCTGGAGCTTGATCCCACCGGTCTGTCCACTGTGCACCTTGGCATCGGCAACGAGACCCGGCTTTGCCCTGGGGGTGCAACACCGATACACGAGACGTGAACGCAGCACTAGGACCACCCGGTACGTAGTAGTAGGACTCGTACGTCGTAATATCGTGGCGAGCCGGCTACATTCGTCTCATCAAAAGCCAGCCCTGCAGGAACGTCGTCATGCGGGGCAGCATCCACGCCGGCACTGCCGGCAGTCCTGGGCTCGCATGGCATCTTGGTCCTGATATAGATTACCTCCTCCGGCAGCCCAAAAGGGGGGGG